TTTAACCCATAAATTTATTTTTTGTATTGATTGAATATTGTAGCTATTATTTAGTAAAATTTCTTCAAAATAAATTAAGTCATTGGACCTGTTTACTCAATGGCCGTCCCAATTCACTCCGCTATTAAAGTAAAAAGAACCAGGTTACGAATATTTGAAAACAAAAAACACATTTCTACAATGATGAATTAGCAGGAAGTTTTACTGAACATAGTCAGATAGTTGTTTGTTTGATATGTGTTGTGATAATTAGTTTGATTTTTACAATATAATTGCTCCAAGTCAAATTGGACCTTTGTGCCCCGCCCTATCCTATTGCATTATCTCATTTTTTTTACTTGACAGAAATTTCTGTATAATTGAATGCTTCTATAAATAAAATGGACTACTCACCAATTGATAATATATTAACAATATATATAAGTATATTTATTAACTCAACAATTAATCCTAACAATTTCACTCACAAATCAACACTTAAGTATATTTATAAACTCAATGATTAATTCTAACTATTTCACTCACAAATCAACACTAACGTTTATTTATTAACTCAACGATTAATTCTAATGAATCAACACTTACTTCAATTTAACACCGACTGAATGATGGGAAACACTAAAGAAGGCTTCAAGTTTTCGGGTTTTTTCGTAACATACGGCACATTTTGCGATAATTCCCCGATCCTAGCTACTGATTTGAACTTCACTTATAGAAACCAATACAGATAAATCTAGTGTGCTCATTTTAAAGTGCGAATTCTTCGTTTAAAATTGAGATAAATGACTCTTTTATGGCAAACAAAATTATATTTAATAATTCTTTTTTTGTAAAATCTAATAAGTATTTTGAAGCAAAAAAGTAATGTAGTATCCAGAATTTTCAAATTATCCCCCTGAATTTACAATTTGCCCCCCGTTGGGCGTGCGCCCCACGTTGGGATACACTGGTCTAGACTTTCTAGACTCTCGCCACAGCTCAAACTGATTCTGTGATTCTAGGATTTATCGGAGAAACGTCAAAATATTTTTCATATAATATAAAATTTTGGCTATAAATTGAGATATTTAATATACCCCACCGCCTAAATGGAATCCACATGTACACGATGAGCAAAAAAAATTTTAAATCGGTTCAGTATTTTAGGCGTCCATCGCAGCTGAACAACTTGACATTAATTATAATTACCTGTGACCGGATTACCTGTGACCGGAATCCCTCTCATAGGACAACAGCTCCCTTATGTCCTTCGTCATTTCATTAATTTCAAAGGATAATTTGGATAGTTTGTTTACGATACTATCCAACTTGTTCTCTGCTACATATATATTGAGACGAATGAATTTGTTTATTGGAATTTAAAAGATTTTAATAAATAGTTTAAATATATAAATTTTAAATAATGTACCCATCTCCATATTGGACTCTCCTCTACTTCTCCATGTTCAATTTCACATATTACTTCTGCAATAAATATTAACATGAATGTTTTGTTGAATGATATGATATAAGATATTAAATAATGTATCTTTCTCTATATTGGGGCTATCCTCTATTGTTCGTTTTTCTCCTGTTATCTCCACTATCAACACAGGATGTGAACTCTGCCCTCGCTTCATATACTTTTATTGAATGAAGTAGTTCATGGATTCATATACTTTTTATCCATGAAGTAATTCATGGATTGAAACAGTTTTGGTATAGTTTGTTATTGTTTATTCGCCGTGAAATATAGGTACAATATTTATATCGTGCTGTATATCTCTCCTGGCTGCCGGATGGTAGAATAGGCCGTTTGCTTCGATGGCGGGTTCTTTTATTCAGGCCTGAGACGGCCATCTTGATGCGTGCGCATTCCCAAATGCTGCAGGCCCGTATTTAATGCAGGGCTGTACTTGGGTGTCGCCGCACAGCCCCCTACGGTGAAAAAGAAAGAAAATTATTATTCTTTGTAATTCTGAAATCGTACGTGCCGTCCTCGTCTTGTTGTATATTTTTCAGATGTGACGTGCTCTGCTGTTGTGCATTCTTCGGCAGTCGTGTATGCAGGCTTCAGTCTGTCTTTAGAAAAGGATTTAGGCTGGCCCAAAACGTCCAGTTTAAAAGTCTTGTCTCCTCTTTCCAAAACCTTGTAAGGTCCTTTATAAGGTTGCGTCAGAGTCGGCTTTATCATATCTTGCCTGACGAAAACATGACTAGACTTGTTCAGATCTTTATGGATAAAACTCTTTTTCGGGCTATGAGATGACGTAGGCTGTGGCTTTAAATTTCTAAAGATCCTATGTAATTTATCCATGACGGTTGTTGTTGATATGCACGTGTGATCTTTAAAAATTGACCAGGAAGTCTCAAAGGTTCTCCATAGGTGAGTTCTGCGCTAGAATTTTTTAAGTCTTCTTTAACAGCTGGGCGAAGTCCTAATAATACCCATGGTAAAGCCTCTATCCATGAATGATCCTCATGGCACATTAGAGCTGCTTTCAATGTCCTGTGGACTGTCTCGATTAAACCATTTGATTGCGGGTGATAAGCTGATGTTTGTATCAAGTGGATTCCACATGCTTGTGCGACATTTCGAAATAGTGAGGCGTCAAACTGTCTTCCTCTGTCACTCGTGACTTGTGCTGGAACTCCGAAGCGTAAGACCCAACATAAAAGAAATGCATGTGTTACCGTTTCTGATGTAATGTCCGGCATTGGATATGCTTCAACCCATCGAGTGTATCGGTCTATGGCAGTTAACAGATAACGATAATTTTTGCATAGAGGTAATGGACCTACAATATCAATATGTACCTGCATGAACCTTGATGTTGGCACATTGAATTCCTTAATGGGTGTTACGGTATGCCTGCTTACTTTACTCCGCTGACATTTCAAACATTCTCTGGACCAAACCTTACAGTCCCGGCGGATGTTTGGCCAAACGAAGCGCTGTGTCACTAGTTTTATTGTTGGTCTAGGTCCTGGGTGACTTAAATTATGCAGGCTGTCAAAAATTTTCTTTCTTAGACTTACAGGTACGAATGGTCGTTCTCTTCCTTGAGATGTATCGCAGTATATGGAGTAGTTTTGTTTCTTAAGTTGTAAGGCCGTTTTCATCGATAAATATTGTTTAAGCTCCTGGTCCTCCTTTTGAGCTTTTGCTATCTCGGTAATTTCCAATTGGGAACTGATTGATTCAATTCTAGAAAACAAATCAGCCGGAATATTCTTTGTCCCGCTCACATGTCTAACATCTGTCGTGAATTGTGACATATATGTTATCTGGCGGTTAACGGCGGTCGTGTTTTTGCTGAAAAACATACATAAGTGGTTTGTGGTCGGTGAACCAAATAAAGTTAAGACCAATGATTTGATTCTTGAAGTATTGGAATGCTTTATACCCTGCTAAAAGCTCGCGGTAGTACGTTGGCCACGTTCTTTGTTTTTCAGAAATTTTCTTCGAAAAATAAGCGAGAGGTTTCCATTCACCGTTTGTGTATTGTTGTAGCACTGCACCCACGGATTTGTCTGAAGCGTCTGTAAATAAAGCAAGTTCTGCATCCGGCAATGGATGTGTTAGTAAGGTAGCTTCAGCGAGATTCTTCTTACAAGCTTCGAAAGCTGCTGTAAGTTTTTCATCCCAGTCAATTTGGCTTGTGTCCTTCGATTTAGGTTTTGATAATAAAACTTGTAAATCTGCTTGATATCTGGCAGCATTCGGACAAAATTTTCGATAAAAGTTTATCATGCCTAAGAATCTCCGTAATCCTTTTATAGTTTTTGGTTTTGGAAAATTTAACAATGCGGTTATCCTCTCTTTTAGGGGTTTTGTATCATGCTCCGTAATGCAGTATCCTAGGAATGTAACTTCCTTAGCGCCTAGAATGCATTTAGATGGGTTTACTACTATACCATAATCTGCTAAACGTTGGAACAACCTACGGAGATGGTGTTCATGTTGTTCTTCACTTTTGGATGCGATTAGAATATCATCAATATATGGAAAACAAAAATCTAATCCACTGGTTACTTCGTCCATAAATCTTTGGAAAGTTTGCGCTGCGTTATGTAGGCCGAATGTCATAAAGGGGAACTCAAATAAACCAAAAGGTGTTGTAATTGCCGTCTTGGGAATATCTTCATCGTAAACAGGTATCTGCTGGTATGCTTTCTTAAGGTCTATTATTGAAAATATGTTACAACCTGATAAGTGTTGTGAGTAGTCACTCATGAGCCTGACTGGGTACCTATCCGGGATTGTTCTTGCATTTAATGCTCGGTAGTCTCCACATGGTCTCCATGCATCGTCTTTCTTTTGGACTAGATGTAACGGTGATGACCAAGGGCTACTTGATGGTCGGGCAGTACCTAATTGCACCATTTCTTCAAATTCCTGTTTGGCAATTTTTAACAGCTGAGTTTTTAATGGACGGGTTCGTGCTACCACTGGTGGACCAGGCGAGGTTTTGATATAATGTACTGTTGTATGTTTTATTTGACGTGGAAGTCCTGGCGGTCGCGTCAAAGAAGGAAATTCTTTAAAAATTTCACTAAACTTTGATTTGATATTAACAGTTTTAATGGTTCCCTTTTGAATGGTTCCTTTGTTTATTGTCTTTACCTGTAGGTTTGTAGTACCGTCTACTAGTCTTGAATTCTTTGTGTCGACAATTATGTTGTAATATGACAGAAAATCTGCGCCTATTATGGGTGTTGACACATCAGCAATAACAAAATTCCAGATGAATTTGCGCCTTAGACCTAAGTCGAGATTCAACTGTATATCTCCATATGTATTGTTTGCTGCAGACAGTTTGTAATCGGACTCAAAAACTTTGCGTTGTACAAACATACAGATGTGATAGACACAGATCACTACCTGTGTCTATCAAAAATTGTACTTTGGTTGGTTTATCTGAGATGAACATGCGGCGTGAAAGTGCTTGACAAACACTTGCCGCATTTAGTGCCTGTCTTCTTCGTTTCCCGACATTTTGCATGGTTGCGTGCATTTCTTAGGCTTTGTTTCCAAATTTGTAGTGGTACCAGCACGTATCAAATCTTTGCCTACTACCATTTCTTTGGCGTGAAAAACTTCTTGTGCGCGAGATTTTCCTAGAACGAGAATTATGCCGAAATCTAGGACGTCTATTTTGCAATTCAGCTATCATTTTTGTTAGGTCTTCTACGCGTTTTAATAATTCAGACGTTGTACCGTCGGTAAGGCTTGTGGCGGCTACTGTTGGCACGATGTTAACCTCACCGATGCTATCTGCTATGGCGGCCAGGTCTTCAATTTTCATGGTCGGATGTGCCTTTAATATTTGTTGTGTATGCGTAGGTAATCTTTGTAGCCACAAGGTTCTTAAAATGTTCTCATCTAGTAGTGGACCGGCCAATGATGTTAGATGTCGTAAAAATTGCGACGGTTTTCGATCACCCAGTTCCTCTTGCTGTAGCAACCTTCGAATCTTTTGGTCCTGTGACTGTGATAAACGTTGTATTATTTCTTTCTTTAACTTAGTATAGGGTTCGACTTTCGGTGGATTTAATATTATATCTTCCACTTCACTGGCTAATTTGTCATCTAAATATGATAATATAAATTCATATTTGACATCTTCTGTTTTTATTCGTGATCGATTAAAATGTGCCTCGATCATCGCGAACCATAATTGAGGTTTTTCATACCAAAATGTTGGTATAGGCCTCGCAATTCCATGTGATACGCCTGCATTTGCGTCGTTTGGATTTTCTGATTTCACTGTCTTATCTTCTTCACTTATTTCACAAATAATTGAGAAAAACAAATTAAATATTCACTAAAAAAAATGTCACTGAATGTTCAAAAAAAAAAAAAGAAAAATTACACTTCTTATAAAAAAAAATGTTTTTGAATCTTGAATAATAAACTTAAGTTAATTCACTATTGTTCTGTTTTACTCACGTCACCAACTATTATATCACGTCGGGTGTCACCAATGAAGCAGTTCATGGATTGAAACAGTTTTGGTATAGTTTGTTATTGTTTATTCGCCGTGAAATATAGGTACAATATTTATATCGTGCTGTATATCTCTCCTGGCTGCCGGATGGTAGAATAGGCCGTTTGCTTCGATGGCGGGTTCTTTTATTCAGGCCTGAGACGGCCATCTTGATGCGTGCGCATTCCCAAATGCTGCAGGCCCGTATTTAATGCAGGGCTGTACTGGGTGTCGCCGCAAGTTTATAATTTGAAGATGTAGCTATACACCTCCCGTAACAATTTTTTACTATTTCACAGTATCAGGAAGGGCTTATACCCCTTAATCATTTTATGAACCTTCAATGGAGAAATAGTTTGTTTTCTGGGCATTGAGAGCTCACGAACAAGGTATATGTCCACATTTATCCTCCTTATCGTAAATTACGTCATCCCATGCAGGCTGCCTGTTTGGCGCGAACAATTTCATTATTTGTCCAAAATTCAACTGAAGATGAGTGAAACAATAACTCTTATGACAAATTTTTTAATGGAAATCTTATCAAGGTAATACATGCAATTAAAGTATTACCAGGTTATAGCACTAGTGGTGCACCATGTAGAGAACTCAAAATCCAAAACATGTAAATAGAATACTAGAATTGTAGAAGGCAACATCAAGTTATACATCTTAAATTTAAAAAATATAAAGCTTTTGTATTGAAAACATAAGCTGAAAGATATTTACTTCCTGGTAAATATATTAAATTTAAATAATTGTTTTTTTTTTCAAATTTCTTATTTCTATTTGGTAGAGTGTTGCATGCCAATCCACTACATAAAAAGCATAACTCGTGTTTTAGTAAATCTAGAAAATTGTTAGAATGTGTCATTTTTTTAAATTATTTTTTAAATCGTCCGGATGATATTGAGCTGTTTAGTTACGTGTGCTACTATGTTACATATAATTTTATTTGCTCATGAGTTTCTTGTTAAGCAAAAATAAATCTAAAAAAACCAACGCGTTAATAATGCAGTATGTAATGTATTGTAAATTTGTCGGTAGTTTTCTTGAATTGTGATTTTTTTCGAAATCAATGTTGTGATAATAAAACTAAATAATGTGTGATTTAGTCTTCGAATATGTAAAGTTAGTTAAAATATATAGCAGTCACGAAGAAACTTGTTGCATGCTAACAAAACAAATTTGGAAATAAAATAAATAACTAAGAAAAGAAAATGAAATTTTTAAAGAAAATAATAGGAAATGTTAAGATAATAAGTTATGGTAATAGGAGAATTATAAATAGAATGAAAAATTATTAAGTACATGAAACAAGATAATGACTGAATTGAAGTAAAACCACTATTATTGAGGTTCAACAGTAACTAACGATAATATAATAACCAAATTGCGAATCTATCGGAACAATTAAGTATTTTTGGAAGTGAAACAAAATAGTAAGCAATATGATTAATATTTACTATAATGACTCATTTATTTGAATACGACAGACGATATGAATATTTGAAGAGAAGCATAGTCATGGAAGGAATTAACTTTGATTGAGACAAATGCATAGCACGAGGATTTATTGTATAATGCACAGTATTTCATATACAATTTTGATTTCGATAGTCTCCGTAATTATGATTTATTTACATTACAATTTTCTTGGTCTATTTGTTGAAAAGTCACACATGACAATGAAAAGGAAATGTGATTTATAATGCTCATTGTGATGCCAAACTATTTGGAACATCCAAATAGAAGTTAGTTCCAATCCAGTCAAGGACATTTATGTCTTTATGATTGTGAACTACTCAAAGTAGTTTTCGTCCAAATAGAAGAAACCGCCCTGGATTTACATTATTAACCAAATATCAAACTTGAAACGGATGCAAAGTATGAATACTTCATACTTCAACATTTTTTTATTTAATTTTGGATCTATTTGGCTACTTAATTATTTTTCTTCGAAAATCAATACCGAATGTTAAATAAAATGATATCTATAATTCAGTCACAGAAGGAATTATGACACATTTAATAATTTTGAGATATTTAGAAAAGGTGCCATCACAATAAATAGTATTAGCTTGTAGATTCTTCATCGCCATGCATGATTAATCAGAAACATAGTTTTAATTTCTACGGATTTCTTAATCATGATCAAATGGTATAACTGACCTTAGTTCAGTCGAAGAAGGAAGTGACATCACAATAAATAATATTCGCTCAAAGGTTCAAATCAAGAGGATTGTTTTAATTTGTACGCAAATCGTAACCATGTATAAAATGCTATAATCTATTGGCAAACGAAGATATTTCAATACTTATATAAATTATTCAAGGTCGTGAAGACTGATTTGTCCAATTCAATTGTGACTGTAAAATCTTGGGACCTTCGACTGACTTAACTGATCTCTGGTAAAAGTTCTTCCCAATCTTTACCAAATCACTTATGTTTATGTATCTACTAAGTTTGTTAAATTGATATAAAAAGGAAATTGAAACATGTTATGCAGCCTGGATATTATATAAAGAAAAAGTAATATGGAGTAAAATCGATTCGCACTCGACATCGATATTAAAAAATTGTATTGATATTTGCAAATATTAAGAAATTCTTGAAGAGAATAATCAGTTTTTAATGCAATAGGCTATATTTAACCAATTTTAAATATTCAACGATCAACACAAGTAACTTGTAGGATAAACTTGTAAGATATAATAAAATTTTCTTTGTTTTTCACTAAACTTACAATTGGAAAACTACAAACGCTTGAATACATTTCTACAATACATTAATTGTGATAACTTCAAAATGAATGTAAAATTATATGAATAATTAATAATATAATTATAGTTACTAATAGCACATACTATCGCTATAATAAAGGTAAAACATGTTTCTTATAATTTTTTTTCTATTTTTTTTATTTTGCCACTATATTAAAGCTATACATATTTAACGTTGCATAAGATTTATTTTTGAACATACAAGAGACTGCGCATTTTGTAATTGGTTAAGTTTTTATTCCTTTACTATAAACGAAAATACTTCATTTATATTTTTTTCCGTATACGTTTCAATGTTTGTAATGCTCAAATTTTCGATCCATATTTTATTTAAGTATGCTTTTTCATGTCGTTGCTTGTACCATGTAAACTCAAGTTGAATATTTTATTTTTTATATATACGATTTTTAAATTTCGGAAAAAGGAATGTCTTCCACATGTGCACCACTTTTTTTCAATTTCATGCGAATTCTTGTATAGTGAAATATTGAATTCTTGAATAAAAAATCGGAGTCTTTCATGCGTTCTAAGTCCACTATTATATCGTGTATCTTGAAACCTCGTGGATTTAAGGATCTAGAAAAATGGAAGGCGACAGAGTTTATATTTTCATGCTATATGCAGTCCTAAAAACTTATCTGCCCAGAACGCTATATAAAAATTTTCTTAACTTTCATGCTGCTATGAGAATGTATGTTCAGAAACTCTAATAAAAATTATGGGATCAGGCATTGGTATTGATCGAAAAATTTTGTTCGCGATTTGTAAAACTATATGGAGAATGCGTCCTTGTATATAATACCCTGTAAACATTTTATATTGCCGTTAGGTCGGTTATATAAAAATGTTACCTAGTTATATAACGTCAACCTCACCGTCCCTAAGAAATTTTATTACCTGGAGATAACTATTTCTACCCTGTTAGTTAACTTGTTATATAACATTGTTATGTTGCGGTAACATACGGTAATGTACCTATGCGATATGAATCAGCACTTTTTGAAATGCTTTTAATTTATGCGTAAATAATTGATTTTTCTCTAATAAAAAAGATTTACTCATATTTCATTGTATTTATTATTTAAAATTAATATTTTACAAAACAAAGTAGCAACAAATATTTTATACTAAACAAAACAGTAATAAGTATTTTATAACAAACAAATAGCAAAAATATTTTGTACTAAACAAAACAGTAACAAATATTTTATAACAAACAAATAGCAACAATATTTTGTAAAACAAAACAGTAATAAGTATTTTATAACAAACAAATAGCAACAAATATTTTGTACTAAACAAAACAGTAACAAATATTTATAACAACCAAAATAGCAACAAATATTTTGTACTAAACACAACAGTAACAAATATTTTATAACAATAGCAACGAAATATTTTGTACTAAACCAAACAGTAACAAATATTTTATAACAAAAATAGCAACAAATATTTTGTACTAAACAAAACAGTAACAAATATTTTATAACAAACAAATAGCAAACAAATATTTTGTACTAAACAAAACAGTAAAAGTATTTTATAACAAACAAATAGCAACAAATATTTTGTACTAACAAAACAGTAGCAAAATATTTTATAACAAACAAATAGCAACAAATATTTTGTACTAAACAAAACAGTAACAAATATTTGTTGCTATTGTTTGTTATAAAATACTTGTTACTGTTCTGTTTAGTATAAAATATTTGCTGCTACTATGTTTGTTATAAAATACTTATTACTGTTTTGTTTAGTTCAAAATATTTGTTGCTAATTGTTTATTATAAAATATTATAAGTATTTTATAACAAACAAATAGCAGCAAATATTTTGTACTAAACAAAACGGTAACAAATATTTTATAACAAATAGCAACGAATATTTTGTACTAAACA